GCAATCTAAGTGTCACATGACACTTACATTACATATACACACCTTTTTTGAAAGGCCCCAGAGGCTGCAACACCTAAGCAAGAGGCACCACTAACCAAACACTGCCATGAAGACCAAGGAACTCTGCAAACAAGTAAGGGACAATGTTGTTGAGAAGTACAAGTCAGGGTTAGGTTAGAAAAAAATATCCAAATCTTTGATGATCCCCAGGAGCACCATCAAATCTATCAAAACCAAATGGAAAGAACATGGCACAACAGCAAACCTGCCAAGAGACGGCCACCCACCAAAACTCATGGACTGGGCAAGGAGGGCATTAATCAGAGAGGCAGCACAGAGACCAAAGGTAACCTTGGAGGAGCTGCAGAGTTCCACAGCAAAGACTGGAGTCTCACACAGAGTCGGACTTTCTACACTACAAATTCATATTGCATTCATACAGCACAGCCCTTGCCCTTGCCAAACAGTCATACTTTTCTTCTCTTATTCGTCCATGCTCTCGCAATCCCAGGCGTCTCATTGATACCTTTAACTCTCTTCTTTGCCCTGCTGTGGACACCACCCAAACTAACCTTACAGCAGATAGTTTTGCATGCTACTTTACTGACAAGATTGAACAGCTAAGGAAAGAATTCTCACTACCTTGCCCCTCACTTTCTCAACCTCACCTGGATCATGCCTCTCCAACCCTTCCAACCTTCTCCCAGGCTACTGAACAAGAGATGGCTGCGCTTATCCTTTCCTCTCGCCCCACCACTTGCCCGCTTGATCTTGTCAAGTCTCACCTTATCAGATCTCTCTCCTCTGGTCTTGTGCCCTCCTTAACACACATCTTTAACTGCTCTCTTTCTTCTGGCACTGTTCTAGCTGTCCTTAAACATGCTACTGTAGTACCCATCTTAAAGAAACCATGTCTCGACCCATCCTCTCCCAACTATCGTCCTATATCCCTGCTCCCTTTTTCCTCAAAGCTTCTTGAAAGACTAGTCTAATGCCGTCTGGCCTGCTTCCTCAATTCCAACTCTCTCCTTGACCCTCTTCAGTCCAGCTTCCGCCTCCTCAACTCTGAGACTGCCCTTATCAAAGTCACTAACGACATCACAGCTAAATCCAAAGGTCACTACTCCATACTAATTCTTCTTGACCTCTCCGCTGCTTTTGACACTGTTGATCATGTTCTCATTCTCCAAACTCTTCAACGCTCGGTCTCTGTGACTCTGTCCTCTCTTGGTTTTCCTCTTATCTCTCCCAACGCTCATTCAGTGTCTCCTTTTCTAATGATACCTCCACCGTTCGTCCTGTCTCAGTTGGAGTCCCCCAAGGCTCTGTCCATGGTCACCTTCTATTTTCTCTTTACATTGCCTCTCTTGCCAAACTTATTACCTCTTTCCGATTCCAGTACCACCTGTACGCTGATGATATCCAGATATCTCTCTCCTCACCAGACCTCTTCCCTGATGTCCTGCAACGTGACACCTCTTGCCTTTCTTCTAGCTCTGATTGGATGTCCTCCCGCTTTCTGAAAAGGACTCTTTCCAAAACAGAACTTCTCATCTTTCCTCCTAATATTACTCCTCCTCTCTCGCTCTCCCTTCAGATTGGTGGTATCCATTGCAGCCCACGTTGTCTTGGTGTTACTTTTGATTCTGGCCTCACATCCGGTCTGTTGTCAAATCATGCCAATTCCACCTCAAAAACATCGCCCACATCTGCCCCTTTCTTGCACAAGATGCTACTAAAGAGCTTGTCCATGCTCTAGTAATCTCTCGCATGGACTATTGTAACTCTCTCCTAATTGGTTTTCCCAATAGCAGTATTGCCCCGCTACAGTCTAATGAATGCTGCCGCCAGATTGATTTTCCTCTAGTCGGTCCTCTCACACCTCACCCCTCTCTCAGTCCTTACATTGGCTTCCTGTATACTATAGGAATAATATTAGCCCCTCTTATATCTCCTCACAGATCCATAAGTATGCCCCTTCTTGGTCTCTCCGCTCTGCCCGTGACCACCTTCTGTCCGCTGCTCGCACCCGTACGGCCAACGCTTGAAGGCCTTCTCGCGGGTGGCTCCCTTCCTATGGAATAGCCTGCCTACTGCCATCAGACTCTCCCCTAGTCTTCAATTGTTTAAGTAGTGCCTTAAAACCTTCCTCACTAACCTCTACCTCACATACCTGTCTCTTGCTCTGTCCTAAAGGGCAGTGCACTACTCTCTCCAACTCTACTTCACTACCACCTAATATGACTGCAATTTCCTGTCCTAATGTGTTTTATACCCCACCTTCTATAGACTGTAAGCTCGTTTTAGCAGGGCGCTCTACAACCCATCGTTTCTGTAAGTTTTCTTGTAATTGACCTATTTATAGTTAAATCTCCCCTCTAATAATATTGTAAAGCGCTACGGAATCTGTTGGCGCTATATAAAAGGCAATAATAAGAAGATCATCCCCAAAGGAAACATGGTGGCAGCATCATGCTGTGGGGATATTTTTCAGCAGCCAGGACTGGGAAACTGGTCAGAGTTGAGGGAAAGATGGATGGTGCTAAATACAGGGATATTCTTGAACAAAACCTGTACCTCTCTGTGCGTGATTTGAGGCTAGGACAGAGGTTCACCTTCCAGCAGGACAATGACCACAAACACACTGCTAAAGCAACACTTGAGTGGTTTAAGGGGAAACATGTCAATTTGTTGGAATGGCCAAGTCAAAGCCCAGACCTCAATCCAATCGAAAATCTGTGGTCAGACTTAAAGATTGCTGTTCACAAGTGCAAACCATCCAACTTGAAGGAGCTGGAGCAGTTTTGCAAGGAGGAATGGGCAAAAATCCCAGTGGTAAGATGGGGCAAGCTCAGAGAGACTTATCCAAAGTGACTTGCAAAAGGTGGCTCAACAAAGTATTGATTTTAGGGGGTGAATAGTTATGGACATTGACTTTTTCTGTTATTTTGTCCTATTAGTTGTTTGCTTTACAATAAAAACAAAACAAAAACAAAAATCTTCAAAATTGTGGGCATGTTCTGTAAATTAAATGATGCAAATCCTCAAACAATCCATATTAATGCTAGGTTGTGAGGCAACAAAACACGATAAATGCCAAGGGGGGTGAATACTTTTGCAAGGCACTGTAGTTCCAGTTGCTTGGTTAAGTCTGGTGAATGCAAACTTCGTGCCTAAGCCAAGCAACAACCAATCAGCTGAAAGGACTGCTACAGTTGCCCCAGGCTAGCTGAGGGTTGGACCGCCTGGATGTCCTTGTCCCCGAGCTGGGAGAGCGGCAAAGAGTTCCACTTCAGCAAATACAGATTTCCCTGGACGTGTAGCTCTGACCAGAGCTGGTGATTAGCATTTCCCTACAACACGAGTCAAGGCTGCGAGTTGAGGGTAAGAAAACTGGTTTTAATGGGTACATGCATCAGCTTTATACAAGTTTTTCCAGGCCAGGAAACACCCACTGGACCTGGTGGGGCACTGAAACACAAGTAACATAACCAATCATTACAAAATGCATTTTTCTAAACCCTCCCCTCCATCATGGAGATAATTGGCTTAAGTGGCCGTAGTAACTTAATTATCTCCAGGTACAGAAAATATTTCTAAGTTAAAACTGTAACAAAGCCACATAAAAATACATAACTCATTATTTATAATTAAATCCCTATGTTCAACATATCCCCGGATAGCTTAGATCGGAGCGCTCAATATATCCGAAAAGTGCTCAGATCTCACAAATACAGTTGGATCGCCATGGGGGTTAAAGTTTTCTCAATGGCCGTTGCATAATTCAGTCCAGGATTAGTTCCATAAGTCATTTTAGTCATCAGGGTCGGTCTAGTTCGTGAGTATGGAAGTACTGAACGACACTGCGTTCGTATGTTTATAAACGAACGGATTAAAGTCTGGAGCCTGAAAGTCTGGAACATTAAATTAATAGACTCGGATGACCTTGCATTCTTGTTGGCAACCCACTCTTTTCATATTTGTTTTTCTCATGTATTGTTTAATGTAATACTTGCTTAGTAACAACTGGATTATTAAAGTTATTATTTTTGTCTTTTTTTGTCTACGTGCTATATATTTATGTAGTGAAAAACAAAAATCTTTAATAAAGACAAAAAAAATCAAAAAAAAATCAGGGCTGTCAAGAATTTACAGAACATTTCAAATGGCCAAAGAAGCTGAAATCTAAACATTTTGCAAGTCAGCTATTCTAAGCCTAAAGAAGCATGACATATAGTAAAGAGAATTAACATACTCATTGCAACATATGGAAAGAAATTAACATACTCACTGCATATAGCTTTAGTAGGATTCACTTGCTGTCCAGCAAGAAACTGCAAAAGTTTACGGATGTCCACTCTAGCTTCCACCATATGTACAGAATCTCTTTCTGGAAAGGTATCAGAAACTGAAATGATTAGAGACCTTTGTAAATAAATAAGCCTTATAGAACACAACATTTTAAAATGGGTGTTTAAAAAGTTACTGTTAATGATTGTGACGGTAGTAGAAAATATCCACGTCAAGCATTCCCTTCTTCCCATAAAAGAAAAGCACTCAATATTCCATAAGCAGAAATATCCCTGGAATCACCGAATAATCCACACGTGAGCCAAAGCTTAATGCTGGAACAAGACTGATTTACTGGCACACAGAACTCACAATTTATGCAACACAAAACTCCTCCTCTGGGTCAGGCTAGATAATTGAGTTTCTACAATACACAAAGCTCAATTATCTGCTGGCCAGAAATAATACAGTTTCATAAAACACACAGGGACCCCAAAACATGCAATAACCCCATAAAAAGTATATCCTTGGAACCGGGGGATCTGGGTGAACCACATATCCAAAATTCACCCAGATCCGTTCAGTACTTTGGAAAATACAGTTTAATGCAGATTCTGCAGAACATATACAGGCTAAATGAAAAACAATCACTGTATAATGTGTCCCCTGCTGTATAGTCCAAAACCACTGCACGATGTCTCTGTGCACCAAATACTGGCGAGATGGCACCGTGTTGAAAAGTCCAAACAGTGTCTGTGAGTTAAAATGGCCACCATCCATTGTTCTCACCATGTGCTTCTGATACAGGAAATGGTGGCCACCCAGTAACTCCACAGTATGTCCCCAGATGGTTCTTAAAGGGCCAGCAGCAGCACAACACAAATCCATTATGCCCAAATCATGTCTTTAAAGGGCAATACATCCCAGGGGCCATAGTCACAGGGCAAGAGGCGGGCAAGCAGTCCTCTCCAGGCACAAGTGGCGAAGGGCACTTCGTCACAATGATAAAACAGAAAATCACTCTAATGAAAGAAAAGCAAAACCAATATGTTAAAGGAAAAAAATAATGACAAATTGTGATATAGCACTTCTATTCCATCACTTTACCCAACAAACTGGTCATGTAAACTATAACAATAAAAGCTGATGTTAAAGCAATGTATTTCTCATGGTTGCTCAATTTAGAATGGAAATAACTGTACAAAAAGGTGGCTTGCATCTTTCTCAAAAGGGAACAAATGTTCTCAGTGAGCAGTTCAGAGGTTTTGCTAGGATGTATTTAATAATTCCAACTAGGATGGGGGACAAAAGGGTGATAAAACACCAATCCAATTGCCCCCCAAAACAAGTACAGTAACTGTGGCGACCGTGTTGATAAATCTACAAATGCTCACAGTTTAGGGAATAAGATCTATGAACTTGTGGCAATAATGGCAACTGAGAATGTAGATTAAGTGGCTGTTAATGAGACATGATATAATGAGAAAAATGATTTAAAAAGGAAGATAGACAGATCTAAAAGATTAGGCAAAAAAAGAGGCTAAGCAAGTTATAAGAACCTCCAAAGCACACACAGAAGGCAGAATATAACAGTCAGTAAAAAAAGGGGGTACAACTTTTTTAGATACATAAATGAGAAAAGAAAAGTAAAACAAGGATTAGATAGCTTAAAATCAAAAAAAGGTAGGTATGTGTAAGAGGATAAAGGTCAAGCTGACTGCCTCAGTGAATATTTGTGTTTGGTATTTACAAATAAAAATTAAGCAAAGGGACCAAAGTTAGCAAAAAAAATACAAATTAGTTATTAGTTATTTGTTACATGTTAGTTTTTTACAGGAGGAAAAGGTTCTATTTCAACTGTCAAAAGACAAGACAATTTAGTCGATGGGGCCTGATGGGATACACCCAAAGTTATTAAAAGAGCTTACACGGATTTATTTAACCAATAATTTTTAACAGGAGTAGTCTCAGAATATTGGAAATTAGCGAATGTTGTGCCCATTAAATGAAGGTAGTAGGGAGGAGTCGGGCAACTATAGGCCAATAAGCATTACTTCATTAGTGGAGAAAGTAATGGAAACCATGTTAAAGGATAGGATTGCTGAACATCTAAAATCCCATGGATTTAAAGATCAGAGACAACATAGCCCGTGAGCTTAACCCCTTAAGGACCAAACTTCTGGAATAAAAGGGAATCATGACATGTCACACATGTCATGTGTCCTTAAGGGGTTAAAATCTAAAGGATGCAGTGGGGATTTGAGACAAGAGATAGCTGGGGAAATGTGAAAGTGATGGCAAAAAATTTAAACAGATAGTTGCAGCTATTAGTAAAATATAGTGGGAATTGAGTGAGAATTTTAAACAGCTGGAGGAGCATGCTATAAATTTAGGGGGATCCTGGGTGGGCGGGAGGAGGGGCGGATGGGTGAGTTAAACCACGTAGAATTGAAGATGCTTGTATGCAGTTGGTATGGGGATCTGGGCCTAAGGAGGGGTAGAGATAAACAGTTATTTCAAGGGATTTACAGCTAGGAGTGGCAGGCATGGGGAGGACGGCAGATAAGAACCATTTGGCCCATCTAGACTGCCCAATTTTCTAAGTATTTTCATTAGTCCCTGGCCTTATCTTATAGTTAGGATAGCCTTATGCCTATCCTACGCATGTTTAAACTATTTTACCGTGTTAACCTCTACCACTTGAGCTGGAAGGCTATTCCATGCACCCACAACCCTCTCAGTAAAGTAATACTTCCTGATATTTTTAAACCTTTGCCCCTCTAATTTAAGACTATGTCCTCTTGTTGTGGTAGTTTTTCTTCTTTTAAATATGGTCTCCTCCTTTATGGTGTTGATTCCCTTTATGTATTTAAATATTTCTATCATATCCCCCCTGTCTTGTCTTTCCTCCAAGCTGTACATGTTAAGATCCTTTAACCTTTCTTGGTAAGTTTTATCCCGCAATCCATGAACCAGTTTAGTAGCCCTCCTTTGAACTCTCTCTAAGGTATCAATATCATTATGAAGATAAGATCTCCAGTACTGCGTACAATACTCCAAGTGAGGTCTCTCCAGTTGTCTGTACAATGGCATGGGCACTTCCCTCTTTCTACTGCTAATATCTCTCCCTATACAACCTAGCATTTCCTACTGCTCTATTACATTGTCTGCCTACCTTTAAGTCATCAGAAATAATCACCCCTAAATCCCTTTCCTCAGATGTTGAGGTTAGGACTCTATCAAATATTCTGTAATCTTCCCTTGGGTTTTTACGTTTAAGATGCATTATCTTAAACTTATCCACATTAAATGTCAGTTGCCACAACTCTGACCATTTTTCTAGTTTACCTAAATCATTTGCCATTCGGCTTATCCCTCCAGGAACATCAACCCTGTTACATATTGTAACATATGCCCTGTTTATTGCCTGGATTGTTGGATTTACAACATTGTTGCTGTTAGACTTTTGTTACAATACCCTGCATTTGATCTAAACAGAAGAATTTTGATACGAACAAGCTACATTTAATCTGTTCTTATACCGAACAATCTGTCGAATGAGAGACCACCCAAGCCAGTTGTGTGCCGCCAATTGACTCATTTGACTCTTTGCCAAACCACAACTTCAACGTTTTAAGTGGTTCACTGGCTGGCCGTCGATTCGTGTGCATAAACACGTGGCGGCGGCCATCTTGTTTTGTCAAACGCGTCCAGCGGGATTTGGTTGTCGAGTGTCTGGAACTATTTTCGGACACTATCTATCTAACACCGCTGAGACTTTCAGGACCACTTAGATTCGTGCTAATACATCCGAAGTGGGCGGTGTTCAGTAGAAACACTATACAAATGAAGCAGCACACGACCATCAAACTCACGAATACTTATGTGAACGGTTGTTCAACATTTTATAACATACGAAAGAGACCGCACCAGCTTAATACATTGAACTATTTTGGGCAGGAGCCTTGTGTGCGGCCGGGCAGAAATGGGACTTCCACCTATCTCCCGAACTGATTCATATGATTTTTTAATATGTTGTTCCCCTAATTATGCCCGATTAGAATATATATATTTTATGGGGATTGGATATGTTTTTATGGTATTTCTGGAAATGTGCAAAAAGTTTAATTTTTTCATTTGGAGATAATTAAGTTGATACAGTAATTAACTCAATTATCTCCTAAGCAGAGGGGCAGAATTTTATGCAATGAATGGGAGTGTTTAAAATTGTGATTGTACACCATCGGCAGTTAACTGTATTTTTCGGTGCCCAACAAGGTCCACCTGGGTGGCAACCTTGTTAGGAAAGTTGCATAAAAGGCAGGCCTGGCCCATTAAAATATCAGATCTGCTTAACCCACTATACGTGGCCTTGTCTCGTGTTTGTAGGGAACCTGCTTCACAACTAATCTTTAGCTCTTATAAGAGCTCTGCTATTCTTTCACTACTGGTTCAGCTGATGGGACATCTGGAGAATATTGCATCACAGCTTCTCTCAAGGGAAAAGGACATCTACAATGGCATACACCCCTCTGATACCCAGGGTGGCAGTTACACATATCTTAGTATCATCAGCCAAAAGACATACCTTACCATCAAGACATTCTGCAATATCACTAATAAAAATATTAAAGAGAATGGGTCCAATTACAGATCCCTGAGGTACCCCACTGGTGACAAACCTATGCTTTGAATATACTCCATTGACTACAACCCTCTGTTGCCTGTCACTCAGCCACTGCCTTACCAATTCAACAATATTGGAATCCAAACTTAAAGATTGCAGTTTATAGATAAGGCTTCTATGTGCAACAGTGTCAAAAGCCTTACTGAAATCTAGGTAAGCAATGCTTACTGCACCACCCTGATCTATTATTTTAGTTACCCAATCAAAAAAAAATCAATAAGATTAATTTGGCATGATCTCCCTAAGGTAAACCCATGTTGTCTCCGATCTTGAAATCCATGTGATTTTAGATATTTTACAATCATATCCTTTAACATAGTTTCCATCGCTTTCCCCACTACTGAAGTAAGGCTTACTGGCCTATAGTTACCAGACTCCTCCCGACTACCTATCTTGTGAATGGGCACAACATTCGCTAACTTCCAATCTTCTGGGACTACTCCTGTTAACAATGATTGGTTAAATAAATCTGTTAATGGTTTTGCTAGTACACCACTAAGCTCTTTTAATAGCTTTGGGTGTATTCCATCAGGTCCCATTGACTTGTCTTTACTTTTGACAGTTGAAATAGAACTTCTTCCTCTGTAAACTCACGTGTAATAAATGACACATTTATCCTTTTCCTTAACCGAGGTACCTTTCCTTCATTTTCATCTGTAAATACAGAACAAAAATATTCATTGAGGCAATCAGCTAGACCTATATCCTCTTCTACATACCCTCCTTTTGTTTTTAATCTAACTAATCCTTGTTTTACTTTTCTCATTGATGTATCTAAAAAAAGTTTGGTCCCCCTTTTTTACTGATTGTGCTATTTTCTCTTCTGTGTGTGATTTGGAAGCTCTTATAACTTGCTTAGCCTCTTTCTGCCTAATCTTATAGAACATTTTGTCTTCCTCACTCTGGGTTTTTTTATAATTACTAAATGCTAACTTTTTGTTTTTAACTATTTTGGCCACATCTGCGGAGTACCACAGTGGTTGCTTAATGCAATTTTCTGTTGCCTTCAATAGTGCAACTTTTAAATAATCCCATTTCTCTGGGACTTAATTTAAATTGCTCCAGTCTGATAAGGACTCCTCTACCCATATTCTAATTTTAGAAAAGTCTGTTTTTCTAAAGTCTAAAACTTTTGTTTTTGTGTGGTGTGACTCAGTCACTGTTCTTATATTAAACCATACTGACTGATGATCACTGGATCCTAAACTTTCACCTACAGTAACATCTGATACCAAATCTCCATTTGTTAACACTAAATCTAGTATGGCCTCTTTACGAGTTGGCTCCTCAACAACTTGTTTTAGAGACAATCCCAGTAGGGAGTTTAGAATATGTGTGCTCCTGGCACAAGTAGCTATTTTTGTTTTCCAATTTACATCAGGAAGATTAAAGTCACTCATGATGATAACTTCCCCCTTTATTGTCATTTTAGCTATTTCCTCAACTAGTAGATTATCTAACTCTTCAATTTGTCCTGGGGGCCTATAAATCCCACCTACACGAGTTACTGTGTGATTACCAAATTCTAATGTAACCCAAACGGACTATGTTCGCCTCACTAACTTTTATTAGGCTAGATTTTATGCTATCCTTCACATACAGGGCCACCCCTCCCCCTTTCTTACCTTCCCTATCTTTTCTATATAAAGAGTACCCTGGTATTGCTATGTCCCAGTCATTTTTCTCATTATACCATGTCTCAGTAACAGCGACTAAATCTACACTATCAGTTGCCATTATTGCCACAAGTTCATGGATCTTATTCCCTAATCCATGGGTCGTCAACCTGGTCCCTACCGCCCACTAGTGGGCGTTTCGGGATTCCAGGTGGGCGGTAGGGACTTTGGAGGTCAAAACCTCCTTTTGAGCGAGCGGGTGCGAGTGTACACATCAAGAAACCAACGTGCGCGAGAATGCGTGCGGTAGGATTTTCGGAAGTTAAAACCTCCTTTTGAGCGAGTGGGCAGGCGGCGCAAGCGCACACATCAATCAACCTCCTTTTGTGCGAGAAGGTGTCGGGCGGGGGCGAGCGCACGCAAATACGTGGGAAGAGGAAGGGGAGGAGTGGAAACAGACAGCAGAGACAGGCAGAAACGGAGCAGAGCAGTTGCAAAAGAAAAGTTATAGGCAGGAGAAAGTGAATTGTTGGCTAATAATAAGTTGGTTTACTAGCTCAGCCTTACTTTTGTACCTCAGGAAGGTAAAAGAAAGGAGATAAAAAGGAAAAGATAAACAAAAAAAAAGGGATGAAAAATAGAGAAAAATTGATAAAATAAAGGAGGAGAGTGAGCAGTGTTTAGTCTGGCTCATAAATTAATGTTTTGTTATCTTATAAAATAAAAGAAGAAAATAAGTAAGGGAAGGAGAAAATTTAAAAAAAAAGGAAAATGAGATCCTTGATATAGTGATATACTATAAGGAAGGTAAAGAAGCAGGCAGGAAAAGGAATTTCTTTTGATGGTGACATTTAATAAAAATTGGCACCTAATACAGCATTGTTTTTGGTGTTAGTAATAAAAGGGAAAAGAGGAGGGAAAAAAGCACTGTGTAAAATGTAAGAGTAAAAGTAGTAATTACTTTTGTAATTTTGGCAGTGGTGTATACCAAAAACTCTGGCAAAACCATATTTTTTGTACAGGTTATTTCCATTCCAAACAGAGCTACCATGAGAAATAAAGCCAAATCCTTGCTCACGACACCATTCACCAAGCCACAAATTAAAGTCCCTAATACACATCCGCCTGTCGTTCTGAGTGTTATGCACAGGCAGAACTTCAGAGAGTGACCGTGTGGAATCAACCTGCCGTATATCACTGGCAAAAACACTAAAAACTTCCTTAACCTCTGAAACCTCACTGAAAGCCAAGTCATTTGTCCCTAGATGGACAAGTACATCCAATTCCCCTTCCTGCTTTGCTTGCTTAACAATATTACAGATACGTCTCCTGTCTCTGTGAGCAGTAGCTCCGGGAAGACACCTCACAAGACCACCATTGTTCATCTCCACACCTCTTATGATGGAAATCCCCAACAACAACTGCTTTCTATTAGGCCTCACCATAGTCTCCAAGCCGGTCTCCACAACACCACTAGCCTCAGTGCCCCTCTCCACACCACCACTAGCCTCAGTGCCCCTCTCCACACCACCACTAGCCTCAGTGCCCCTCTCCACACAACCACTAGCCTCAGTGCCCCTCTCCACACCACCACTAGCCTCAGTGCCCCTCCCCACACCACCACTAGCCTCAGTGCCCCTCCCCACACCACCACTAGCCTCAGTGCCCCTCCCCACACCACCACTAGCCTCAGTGCCCCTCCCCACACCACCACTAGCCTCAGTGCCCCTCCCCACACCACCACTCGCCTCAGTGCCCTTCTCCACAACACCACTCGCCTCAGTGCCCCTCTCCACAACACCACTCGCCTCAGTGCCTCTCTCCACACCACCACTAGCCTCAGTGCCTCTCTCCACAACACCACTAGCCTCAGTGCCTCTCTCCACAACACCATTACACTCTGAAAGTGCAGAAAATGAATTATTTAGAGCAACAGACTGTGCAATATGCCTTTTATCCACAACTCTAATAGGGATCGACCGATTATCGGTTTTACCGATATAATCGGCCGATATTCGGTATTTTAGGCAATATCGGTATCGGCCAATTCAGATACCGATATTGCCGATAATACCTCCTAGGACCGCCAGGCTCATTACAAGCCCGGCGGTCCTGGGGGGGAGCGGGCATCAAGCGCTTACTCACCTCCCAGCAGCTCCTCCAGCTCCCCAGTGCAACTCTCGCGAGACCCGCGGCCGTCAGAGCGTTGCCATGGATCACCATGGCAACGCTCCGCGCGACACGCTGGCCGCGAGAGTTACACTGGGGAGCTGGAGGAGCTGCTGGGAGGTGAGTAAGCGCTTGCTCTCTGCCCCCCCCCAGCTCAGCAATACCACTGGACCACCAGGGACTGTCATATCCCCCCTCCCTGGCCAGGTAACAAGCAGGGAGGGGGGACAAAAAATAATAATTAAATATATATATATAAAAATAATTTAATAAAAAATTCCCCCTCACACACTCCATTATATACACAGACACTACACAAACACACTGTGTATATAATGCAGTGTGTGTTTGTATAGTGTGTGTTTGTATACAATGCACACAAATACACTGCATTATATACACACACTATACAAACACACTCTAACTGCATTATATACACACACACAAACTGCATTATATACACACACTATACAAACACACACAAACTGCATTATATACACACACTATACAAACACACACAAACTGCATTATATACACACACTATACAAACACACACAAACTGCATTATATACACACACACAAACTGCATTATATACACACACTATACAAACACACACAAACTGCATTATATACACACACTATACAAACACACTGTGTATATAATGCAGTGTGTATTTGTGTAGTGTGTGTATATAATGCAGTGTATTTGTGTAGTGTGTGTATATAATGCAGTGTATTTGTGTAGTGTGTGTATATAATGCAGTGTATTTGTGTAGTGTGTTTATATAATTCAGTGTGTGTTTGTGCAGTGTGTGTTTGTGCAGTGTGTGTGTGTTTGTGTAGTGTTTATATAATGCAGTGTTTGTGTGTAGTTTGTGTATATAATGCAGTGTGTTTGCATAGTGTGTGTATATAATGCAGTGTATTTGCGTAGTGTGTTTATATAATGCACACTACACAAACACACTGCATTATATACACACACTATACAAACACACACTACATTCACTATACACACACACTACACAAATACACACACTCTGCATTCATTATATACACACACACTTTGCATTTAGTATATACAGCATTCACTTTACGCACACTACACAAACACTCTGCTTTCATTATATACACACTACACTAATACACACTGCATCCACTACACACACTAAACAAATACAAACTGCATCCACTACACACGCTAAACAAATACACACTGCATCCACTACACAAACACACATTGCATCCTCCACACACACTACACAAACACACACTGCATCCACAACCCACACACTACACAAACACACACTGCATCCACAACCCACACACTACACAAACACACACTGCATCCACTACACACACACACTACACAAAGACACACACTGCATCCACTACACACACACTACACAAAGACACACACTGCATCCACTACACACACACACATACAGCTCCCCTGTCACACTGCATCCACTACACGTGGCATGTATATTTTGTGCATTTACCTTTAGAAATAGTTTTTATTTTCCAAAATGGTAAATGTACAGAATATCGGCAAATTATATCGGCTATCGGCCTGAAAGTTCACAGAATATCGGTATCGGTATCGGCTCTAAAAAATCAATATCGGTCGATCCCTAAACTCTAAGTCTACCAGATCCTACAATAATCCAACTGCCATTCCTAGTATGTCTCTGCAGCAGTGGCTTTGCAGCAGTTCCGGCCTGAGTTTGTTCACCAGATAATTTACAAATCTAAAAAAAGTTTCTTTCCTGTTGCAACACCCCTCTTCTGTTGAGCTTCAGCTGGTAGACAGATGGCCTTAAGTTCTCCTGCAAAATGTCTTGATAAACTTGGAAATTAATTTTTCCTTCGATGATCGCAATCCGTCCAAGCCCCGACGCAGCAAAGCAGTCCCAAACCATGATGCCCCCACCACCATACTTCACAGTTGGGATGAGGTTTTGATGTTGGTGTGCTGTGCCTTTTTTTCGCCACACATAGTGTTGTGTGTTTCTTCCAAACAACTCAACTTTGGTTTCATCTGTCCACAGAATATTTTGCCAGTACTGCTGTGGAACATCCAGGTGCTCTTGTGCAAACTGTAAACGTGCAGCAATGTTTTGTTTGAACAGCAGTGGCTTCCTCTGTGGTATCCTCCCATGAAATCCATTCTTGTTTAGTGTTTTACGTATTGTAGATTCGCTAACAGGGATGTTAGCATTTGCCAGTGACGTTTGTAAGTCTTAAGCTGACACTCTAGGATTCTTCTTCACCTCATTGAGCAGTCTGCGCTGTGCTCTTCCAGTCATCTTTACAAGACGGCCACTCCTAGGGAGAGTAGCGACAGTGCTGAACTTTCTCCATTTATAGACAATATGTCTTACCGTGGACTGATGAACAGGAAGGCTTTTGGAGATACTTTTATAACCCTTTCCAGCTTTATGCAAGTCAACAATTCTTAATTGTAGATCTTCTGAGAGCTCTTTTGTGCGAGTCATCATTCCATAAGGCAATGCTTCTTGTGAAAAGCAAACCCAGAACTGGTGTGTGTTTTTTATAGGGCAGAGCAGCTGTAACCAACACCTCCAATCTCATCTCATTGATTGGACTCCAGTTGGCTGATATCTCACTCCAATTAGCTCTTGGAGATGTCATTAGTCTAGGGGTTCACATACCTTTTCCACCTGCACTGTGAATGTTTACATGGTGTGTTTAGTAAAAACATGGCAACATTTCATTTTTTGTGTTTTATTAGTTTAAGCAGACTATGATTGTCGGTTGTTGTGACTTAGATGATGATTAGATCACATTTTATGACCAATTTGTACAGAAATCCATATCATTCCAAAAGGGTTCACATACTTTTTCTTGCAACTGTACATATATATATATATATATATATATATATACACACACACACACATATATATATATACACACACATATACACACACACACATATATACATACACATATATATATACATATATACATATATATATACATATACACATATATATATACATATACACATATATATATACATATACACATATACAGCTCCTTTAACGTTTTTGCCGTTTCAATATGGTGTAGTCCGTCCCCATTCACTTCTGCATCTGTATCAATTGCCTTCTGCTTTCCAGTATGTCAATTCCAATTGTATAAACAGCGTTTTTCCTGCTGTACGGTTGGATCCCGCCGCTTGCCACCAATTGTTGCAGAGCTGCAATTTTATAATCCCAGGATCTCTGCTGGTAGAATGCAATAACCAAGTACAAAGCTGGAAGCAGGCAATATTCCCAAATCCTCCCAAGAACCAGACGAAACACAGTCTGAGAGTCAACTGCCACTTTATTCAAAAAGACTGATATATAAAGCAGGTCACTCAACTGTCACTTTATTAAAAATAACTGATATTTAAAGCAGGTCACTCAACAGGGGTTTCCAAAGATGGGCAGCAGGGGTTTTGGTTGCGGGGACTGGAGGGAGACTACCGTTTCCAGGTCCTCCTCCCAACAGCCCCTGCTGTAACATACAGTAATGAAAACTACGAGGACATAAACCGTTACCTTTCAACTTCAAAATATACAACTTAGTCAGTTTTAATAGCAATGCTAACGAATGGGGAGGATTCGAACAGACATACACAGTACAGCATAAATTAAACATAGCCGGAGACGCCACACTATACCGGTACACAACAGAAAATAGGCACAACCATTCTATCTTAGGCAGTCCCAAGTGGCTAGGTTTGCCACA